AGTGTTAATGTCATCCAAAAACATCCTCTAAGTTGCTACATAAAATTAACCATCACAGATGTCTAGAAGTATCTTGAAGTTTATATATCAAGACCAGATTCTGGCCAGGTGTGGTGGTTCACACCTGTAAGCCAGCACTTTGGGAGGTTGAGGCAGGCAGATCACCTGAGGTCAGGAGTTAGAGACCAGCCTGGCCAACATAACAAAACCCATCTCTACTAAAAATATAACAATTAGCTGGGTGTGGTGGCATGCGCCTGTAATCCCAGCTACTCAGTAGCCTGAGGCACAAGAATCACTTGAATTTGGGAGGTGGAGGTTGCAGTGAGCTGCGATCGCGCCGCTATACTCTAGCCTGGGCGACAGAGTGAGATTCCATCTCAAAAAAGAAAAAAAAGGCTGGATTCCTATTTGTCACCATAAACTTGCTTCTCCTGCAATCTTTCTCATTTCAGCAAATGGCAGCCACTCCACAGTTCCAATTTCTTTTTTATTTTATTTTATTTTTATTTTTTAATCAGCCCTGCAGAGGCAGGGCCTCAAAAAATTGGATTAAGACTCAGAATTGTTCCTCTCCATGGAAATCTTTAGTAAAAGGTGAAATATTTATACGATTTGAAGAGAAACCACACTTCCAATTTCTCAGCCAAAATTACTGGGATTATCTTTGATTTCTCTCTCGCTCTCCCCGGCTCTAACATGTTACATCTGGTTCATTAGTAAATTCTTTTTGCACTTCCTTCAAGATATGTCCAGAGTGCAACCACTTCCCAGCACCTCTATAGCTATTACCCTGACCTAAGAGATACAACTGTTTTGAGATCCTGTAAACTGGTCAGCTGGTCTCCCTGCTTTCTTTCCCGCTTCCTCTTAGTTCATTCTCCAGCGGCCTTCAGAGACATCCTTTATGAATCATGTCGGAGCATAGCTCTTCTCTACTCAAAACCTTGAACGGCTTCCCTTCTCAGAGTGACATACAGAGTCCTTACCATGCTTGAAAGGCCCTGGTCTCCCCGGCATGCTGCTGCCTATTTGATCTCTTTCCCTACTTGCCTCCCTCCTACTTTAGCCACGCTGGCCCCCTGGCTGGTCCTTGAATCCACCATGGACACTCCTGCATTCGAGCCTTTGCATTGCTGTTCCTTCTGCCTGCAGAGTTCTTCCTCAAGTCATCCACTTAAACTGTTCTTCCACTGCCTTCAGGTGTCTGCTCGACATCACTTTACCTAAGAGACCTTTCCTAACCAACCCACTTAGAATCAAACTGTTACCTTGTCACCCTCCATCCTCCTTACCATGTTTATCTTTCCTTTTGGCTACCTATACATTTATTTGTTCTATCAGATGTAACTCTCAAGGGCAAGGACTTTGTTTTCTTCATTACTGAATCTCAAGAACTAGAATACAGTTTTGCATGTACTAGTCGCTTAATAAATATTTGTTTAAAACACCAGTGACTGGCTATTATATTTAGTATTCTGTTCATGTTAATAGCATTAGAAATAAGGGGTCCAGTGCAGTGGCTCCCACCTGTAATCCCGGCACTTTGGGAGGCCAAGGTGGGTAGATCACGAGGTCAAGAGATCGAGATCATCCTGGCCAACATGGTGAAACCCTGTCTCTACTAAAAATACAAAAATTATCTGGGTGTGGTGGTGGTATGCACCTGTAGTCGCAGCCACTTGGGAGGCTGAGGCAGGAGAATCACTTGAACCCGGGAGGCAGAGGTTGCAGTGACCTGAGATCGAACCATTGCACTCCACCCTGGTGACAGAGCAAGATTCCATCTCAAAAAAAAAAAAAAAAAAAAAAGAAATATATATATATATATATATATATATATATATATATATATGACCTTCAGGCTCTAAAAGATGACATGACTGGCCAGTCATCTAAAAATACTGGATAAAATAAACAACATGAAAATATTTTCAAGTATGAGTTGGGAGGGCATACCCAGAAACAAACAACAGAGTGGACGTGTGAGTCCAGTGGGTTGAAGGGAGCACTGAAGCTGGATTTACCCTGGAGCATTTGTTAGCGAGGTGATCCGAACTAAAGTTTTTGTTGTTTGGGCTAAATAAGACAAATCCCAGGCATTTCCAAGTTAGGAGTTCGAGAGCAGATCCTCTCCCAGTTAATTCAGGGCCCCAAAGACCAAGCCCTTCATTATAAAAGGTGAACTGGAAATAACTACAACCTATTTCCATCTTTAGAGACTAAAAGAAATGGTTTAACTTGAACGTTTTACTGAATAAAAGGAAAAACACAACTCTTTCTTGACAACTTGTAATTATGAGCTCATTCACATAGGGGTTGAAGACCCCATTCACACTACTCGGATGATCTGAAATATCTTAAACTGATAATTTAGTTGAAAGTGATTTTAAGTAGATCATAACCTCAGACATCAGCAAATGTGTCTTGCTTTTATTTTGTTTTTTGAGATGAAGTTTTGCTCTGGTTGCCCAGGCTGCAGTGCAATGGTGCAATCTCGGCTCACTGCAACCTCCACTTCCCGGGTTCAAGCAATTCTCCTGCCTCAGCCTCCCAAGTACCTGGGATTGCAGGCACCTGCCACCACCCCTGGCTAATTTTTGTATTTTTTGTAGAGACAGGGTTTCACCATGTTGGCCAGGCTAGTCTTGGAACTTCTGACCTCAGGTGACCTGCCCACCTTGGCTTCCCAAAGTGCTGGGATTACAGACATGAGCCACTGAGCTGAGCCAACAAATACAAATCTTACTTACAGGAACCCACATTCAACCTAGTCCTCAAATAATTTATACAGTTGAAGTTCTAAGAAATAGAGCTCCTACTTAAAAAAGTCATGAACCCCTAGATAAGAAGGGCACAATAAGTGATAGCCAGTTGAGACAAAAAACAGAAGAGGCACACCCTGCAGTGGCTTCAGGTATTGGAATAATCAGGTATAGCAATTATGTTTTGAATTAATTTATTTATTCTTTTATTTATTTATTTATATTTGAGACGGAGTTTCGTTCTTGTTACCCAGGCTGGAGTGCAATGGCGTGATCTTGGCTCACCGCAACCTCCACCTCCTGGGTTCAGGCAATTCTCCTGCCTCAGCCTTCTGAGTAGCTGGGACTACAGTTGTGTGCCACCACGCCCAGTGAATATTTTTTTGTATTTTTAGTAGAGACGGGGTTTTACTGTGTTAGCCAGATTGGTCTTGATATTCTGACCTCGTGATCCACTCGCCTCAGCCTCCCAAAGCGTTGGGATTACAGGTGTGAGTCACCGAGCCTGGCCCAGAAATTACGTTTTTGATGTTTAAAGAAACATAGAACATAAACATAACCCCTCCCTACCCATAGGGGACTATAAGGAAATTTACCTTGACACTGAGCAAAGTAGGAAAAAGAAAAAATATGTATCACTGATAGATGATAACAACAAAATATCCCTCAATTGAATCTGCTCCCAAAATTCACATCAGAGGTCCCAAAACATCAAGCCATATATTTAGTTTAAAGCAGTGCCTGGCTAGTTGTCCTTAGACCCTGAAAAATACAAACACAAATCCTTGCTGGAAATAATGCTTCTTCATCTCCGGCTTCAGACAATCTTCACAAATAAGTTTTGAGGGCTGTGAGAATCGTGTAGTACAAAATAAGCAAGCACATAAAGAATACACCAGGAACAAGAAACTATAGAATCAACAACAAATAGAAATGTACTCTGGGCCAGGCGTGGTGCTCATGCCTGTAATCCCAGCACTTCGGGAGGCTGAGGCAGGCGAATCGGGGTCAGGAGTTCAAGACCAGCCTGGCCAACATGGTCCCTGTGTCTACTAAAAATACAAAAAATTAGCTGGGTGTGGTGGCGCACACCTGTAATCCCAGCTACTCGGAGGCTGAGGCAGGAGAATTGCTTGAACCCAGGAAGTGGAGGTTGCAGTGAGTCGAGAATGTGCCAATGCACTCCAGCCTGGGCGACAGAGCAAGGCTCTGTCTAGAGGGAGAAAAAAAACCTCTGAAGACTTCAGACATGGATCATAAATAATCATGTTTAGTGTGTTTAAAGATATACAAACAAGCTTGAAAATATCATCAAGAAATAATGATGATATTTGATTTCATCATTATTTGTAGAACTAGAAGAAATGACCTAACAAGCCTCCCACTTTAGCCTCCTCAGTAGCTGGGACCACAGGTGTGTGCAAAGACAATCTCGCTATATTGTCCAGGCTGGTCTCAAACTCTATACCCAAAGTGTTGAGATTACAGGTGTGAGCCACTGCACCCAGCCTGATTTCACTTTAGGCTCATAATGCTGGAACATAAAGACTAATGCAGACCACCAAGGGGCTTTACTCAGGATTCTTATTCAGGTTTTTCTCTGTGCTTACAATTATGCTATCCCAAGGTGATCGCCTATAGATAGCTATTTTTAATTTTAGGGTTAGCCAAATTTTGTGAAAAAGTTATCATTTTAGGTAGCACTTGGTTCCAATGATTGACTGATTCAACAAGCTGATATGACATGCATTTAGGCCTAATACTAAACTAATAGCAACAGGCCTGAAATCATTCTTTTTATTTATATTTTTTATTTTCTTGAGACAGGGTTTTGCTCTGTCACCCAGGCTGGAGTGCAGCGGCTTGATCATAGCTCACTGTAGCCTCCATATGCCGGGCTTAAGAGATCCTCCCACCTCAGCCTCTCAAGTATCTGAGACTACAGACATGCACCACCATGCCTGGTATTTTTTTTTTTTTTTTGTAGTAGAGAGAAGTCTCACTATATTGTCCAGATTGGTTTCAAATTCCTGGGCTCAAGTGGTCCTCCTGCTGCTGCCTCCCAAAGTGCTGGAATTACGGGTGTGAGCCACCATGCCTGGGCCCAAAATCAGTTGAATCCATTGTCATGAGGCATTGAGCCATATAAACTTTTTAATGTGGTTAGTGGGTCATACGCATAGGTGTGGTAGTGGTTAAGTTGTGCATACAGACATATTTGTTTGTTCCTTCTAGTATGTCAAGAATTCTTGAACCGATTCTACAAGTCATTGATAGACAGAGGAGTTGACTTTTCGCTGGACACTATAGAGAAAGAATTGATCAGCTTTTGCTTGGTTACCAAAGGAAAAGAAAACCGCCTGGTATGGTAAATTTCACCTTTCATTTTTCCCGTGTGCTTGAAGAAAACAGCTAATAGTTTCATTTCTCTTCTTAGACGTGATGTTCTCCTACTTACATGTTTGCCTCAAGCATGTCCAGTGTAGAGCATGCAGCAGGCAGAAATCCATCTTCCAGTGACATGTAATTCTGTGTGTTTTCATCCAGAATATTTCCAGTTGTACTTCGCTTTCTGAGTATACCACAGGCAAGCAATTCTATGTTTTCTTTTTTCGAGACAGAGTCTTGCTCTGTTGCCCAGGCTGGAGTGCAGTATCACGATCTCGACTCACTACAACCTCCACCTTCTGGGTTCAAAGCATTCTCATGCCTCAGCCTCCCAAGTAGCTAGGATTACAGGCGTGTGCCACCACACCCAGCTAATTTTGTATTTTTTGTAGAGACAGGGTTTCTCCATGTTGGCCAGGCTGGTCTTGAACTCCTGACCTCAAGTGATCCACCTGCCTCAGCCTCCCAAAGTGCTGGGATTACAGGCATGAGCTACTACGCCCAGGCCGATTCTATGTTTTCTTAAATGAAATTATGAAACTGCATTCCTAATGAGAATTTACCATCCTGGGTTAAGAGTGAATGGGCTTTCCATTTCTTACGAAGACAATTAGTCAAACTTATCAAAATATTTTACATTATTATTTATACATAATTAATGAAGTATTTATATTTTCTTCTAATGAGATGAATATGATGTTTCCTGGGTATACACATATGGCTTGTTTCAATACACTGTTTCATACCACTAAAGACAATTTGGGGCCAATTCCTTTTTGCCTAATATTGTCAGATTGTCAATTACATCTGCATGTTGACTGGTCACATGAATGTGTTGTAAAGCTCATGCCATTTATCCATATCATTAAGGTCTTTCTATCTATATTATTTTGAGACTGGGTCTCCCTCCGTCTCCCAGGCCGGAGTGCAGTGGTGTGATCTTCGCCATCTGCAGCTTCAACCTCTCAGGCTCAAGTGATCCTTCCACCTCAGCCTTGCAAGCAGCTGGGACTACAGACACATGCCACCACGCCCAGCGAATTTTTGGATTTATTTATTTATTTATGTGTGGAGAGTCAGGGTTTTGTCTTGTAGCCCCGGCTGGCCTGGAACTCCTGAACTCCAGCGATCCACCTGCCTTGGTCTCCCAAAGTGCTGGGATTACAGGTGCCAGCCACTATGCCCAGCCAATGTTTATATTTTTAAATGTAAAATCCTGAAGTCAGGGAACGTGAATGTCAGAATTGCCTGATGGAAAAAGACATGGGCTCTAGAGCCAGTGTGTTGGACTTTATAACTCTGTCTGTTCTATTACTAGATAGGGGGGGGTCTTCCGTTGGCTTCGGGATAAAATACGGATAATAATAATACTTACTTCACAGGACTGTTGTGAGGCATAAATAAGCTGATACCTTAAAACATTGAGAGCAGCACCTGACACAGGGAACACACTCAGTGTTAGCTCTTCTCATTAGTCTTTTAACACCACGTGAATTGTAGGCACTTCTAATTAGGATGATCATGAGAATGGAGTCACTTGTTTCCTGGCGGCTTAGTCAGCAGAAGTTAAAATTTAATAGCTGGACCAGGAAAATGAGGTTAACCTTTCTTTCTCAAAGGAAGAAAATGAGGTCCTTCCTTTTTTTTTTTGAGATGGAGTCTCACTCTGACGCCCAAGCTGGAGTGCAGTGGCACGATCTCGGTTCACTGCAACCTCTGCCTTCTGGGTTCAAGCAAGCAAGTGTGGCTCATTTCTGTAGTTTTAGCAGAGATGAGGTTTCACTGTGTTGACCAGGCTGGTCTCGAACTCCTGACCTCAACTGATCTGCCTACCTCAATCTCCCGAAGTGCTGGGATTACAGGTGTGAGCCACCACTCTCAGCCTACCTCTTTCTTACTTCTTGATACTGTATTTGCATTCCTTGCTGTCTTCAGTGTCTGGAACACTCAATTCTCTTCGTTTTTCTTTAGTGCTATTATCTAGGAGCCACAAAAGATGCAGCCACGAAGATCCTAAGTGAAGTCACGCGCCCAATGAGTGTGCATATGCCTGCAATGAAGATTTGTGAGAAGCTGAAGAAGTTGGACAGCCAGATCTGTGAGCTGAAATATGGTATAACACAGCCCAGTGTTTTCCCCAATATGTCCGATGGATTGCCAGACCTCTAAACTTGGTGCCATGTTTTCTAAAAGTTCAGTGTTAGACGGAAAGGAATTCACTACTCACCACTAACTTGCTGGGCTGATGAATGGTACCTATGACCATGTGAGTTTCTTTGAGGGAGGACAAATAAATAGTACAGCCATAATCAGCATTAGGTTGGCCGGGCGCAGTGGCACACGCTTGTAATCCCAGCACTTTGGGAGGCAGAAGAGGGCGGATCATGGAGTCAGGAGATCGAGACCATCCTGGCCAACATGGTGAAACTGTGTCTCTACTGAAAATACAAAAATTAGCTGGGCGTGGTGGCACGTGCCTGTAATCCCAGCTACTTGGGAGGTTGAGGCAGGAGAATCACTTGAACCAGTGAGTCGGAACAACCAGGTTGCAATGAGCCAAGAATGAACCTCTGCACTCCAGCCTGGATGACAGAGCAAGACTCCATCTCAAAAAAAAAAAAAAAAAAATCAGCATTAGGTTAAAATCACCACTGGAATCACAGAGTTTAAACTCCTAACACACCAAGGCAATGCCAGACATGTGTGTCAAGGAAAATAGCAACATATAAAGAGAGCAGCTACACCTGCCTTGTCAGGAGATGTCCTATTTTAAAATGTTATCCTTGGCCCCAGACATTTCACATGGAAAGATCTATTCTTTTATCGTGGGTTTGTAGCTGGGCTACACATTTGGGTAGATTGAGTGAGTATCCTAAAAGGATGGGAAATTCTTTCCTCAGCCTATTCTTTACACCTGAAATCCCACTCATTTCTTTTGCTTAAGTCATTGTTTTACGTGACATACCCAGTGTAGTACTGTCAACTGCCTAAGTAATTAGCATCCACGTCTAAGTTAGTTTAGTCTTATTTTCCGACATAGGTAATAGTCCTAGCACCAAGCCACATAGCTAGCTTTAAATAGCTTTCAGGTTGGAAGTTACCAAAGACAACCTACTTCTCAACTTGCAAAGCATAAGCCCTACCTTCCAGGGAAGTTATTAGAGTAGGCGTCCCTTTTTTATTGGCTTCCAAGCCATGAAATAGTGGTGGAAATCACTGAGTCCACATAAACAATATTCACAAACCTGGCCAGGTGCGGCGGCTCATGCTTGTAACCTCAGCACTTCGGGAGGCTGAGGCAGGCAAATTGCTTAAGCCCAGGAGTTCAAGACCAGCTTGGCAACATGCCGAAACCCCGTCTCTACAAAAATACAAAAATTAGCCAGGTGTGGTGTTGAGTGCCTATAGTCCTAACTACTCAGGAAGCTGAAGGGAGGATCACCAGAGCCTGGGAGGTCAAGGCTGTTGTGAGCCATGAATTTTTTTCACTGCACTCCAGCCTAGGTGACAGAGTGAAACACTGTCTGAAAACTAAACAGATAAAACAAAACTAAAATAAATAAAATAAAGCCAATATCACACACCTCTGATGATTTTTTAGTTCAGCAATTTTATTGTGAATAACTTTTCCTATATGCAAGAGATCTTACAGGACTCCTTAAACCATAGAAAAACGAATCAGATATTACTGAGAAGAAATGACTACCTAATGGCCACTAGAGGCCCCTGGGGAGCTATGAATCAGGGTTTTTGTTTTTTGTGTGTGTGTAAAGGAATTTCACTCTTGTTGAACAGGCTGGAGTGCAATGGTGTGATCACAGCTCACCATAACCTCCACCTCCAGGGTTCAAGCAATTCTCCCGCCTCAGCCTCCTGAGTAGCTGGGATTACAGGCATGCACCACCATGCCTGGCTAATTTTTGTGTTTTTAGTAGAGACAGGGTTTCTCTATGTTGGTCAGGCTGGTCTCGAACTCCCAACCTCAGGTGATCCGCCCACCTCAGCCTCCCAAAGTGCTGGGATTACAGGCAGGAGCCACCGCATCTGGCCTCGAACTAGTTTTAATCTTTGTATGGACTTTCACTTTGGAGTTTTAGGGCATTTAGGACTTTTTGTTTTTTTTTTAAATTATTTTTCTAGAGGACACCAGAAAAGCTTATAGAAATTACTGACATTGACATAACAAATATTTTTCTCCTTCCGCCTCTTACTTGAATAGACTAATAGTTCTAAATTATCCTCCCCACCATTGTTAGCAGGAAAGACAAGATTAAACAGGGACCTTTGTGCTGTGGAAAATGAATAATTTGGGCTGCAAAAGTTTCTACTTTGAAAAACTATTCAGTCAAATCAGCCATGAAATTAGCAAGCAAGATAGCTGTAGATTTGGAGTATGTTTTCAATGAGGAAGGTGTCATTTGGTTTTTGATCTGAAAGAATGTTTCCGTTTGCTCACTTTATGCTTAAAAACGATAGGAAATCACTATAAAAATTTAAGGGTTCTCTAGAGCACAGAGTATAGCTGACCCTCCAAATAAAAAAGGCTTTTAACATCCAACTTTTAAATTAGAACAGAGTTACTGGAAAGTTTTCACAAATCATTTGACAAATAGTCTAATGTTTTTAATTGCTGTGATCTACTATGCAGAGGTGAAAAAGAGAAAGTACTTTTAAGAGAAGTCAAGCGGAGGCCGGGCGCGGTGGCTCACGCCTGTAATCCCAGCACTTTGGGAGGCCGAGGCGGGTGGATCATGAGAGATCGAGACCATCCTGGTCAACATGGTGAAACCCCGTCTCTACTAAATATACAAAAAATTAGCTGGGCATGGTGGTGCGTGCCTGTAATCCCAGCTACTCAGGAGGCTGAGGCAGGAGAATTGCCTGAACCCAGGAGGCGGAGGTTGCCGTGAGCCGAGATTGTGCCATTGCACTCCAGCCTGGGTAACAAGAGCGAAACTCCGTCTCAAAAAAAAAAAAAAAAAAAAAAAAGAGAAGTCAAGCTGAAAAAATTCTAGCTGTCATTAGTTGTTTCATAAATAAACTTAAATGTCGTATTCATGGGCAAAGTGAACACTGGACAAGCCGGGAGGGGTGAAAGACACTTTTTTGTTTTTTTGACAGAGTCGTGCTCTGTTGCCCAGGCTGGAGTGCAGTGGCATGATCGCTGCTCACTGCAACCTCAACTTTCTGCGTTCAATATATTCTCCTACCTCAGCCTCCTGAGTTGCTGGGATTACAGATGTGTGGCATCATGCCCGTCTAGACGTTTCTTTGGAAAGAAAAGTACACCTTTCTGATAGGAAAGTTATAATTATTGGTATATTACAGATGAGCTTAATTTTCTATTTTGGGCTTTTTTTTTTCTATTTTTTTTCAGCAATTGAGAAGTAGCTGAGTTCCTGATATTTTCTGCACATAATGTATAAACAGAGAAATTGTAGTCTTGCTAGAGCAGGTTAGATGTTGGTGATAAGTATCATTGGCAAGAATTTTAGGAGCCAGGTTGGCCGGCACCAAAGCACTAACATTGGGGAAGGGGGAATAACACAAAGGGCTATATATGCTGCATAATCTAGCAAGCTAATCCCAGTAGGGGCCAGGCATCAGGTGAGTTTCAAAGCAGTTAGCCAAAACAATTAAGGTTCAGCGAGAATATTCCTAATCTTATTCACGTTTGCATTTCTTTATGTTTTTGCGTAAAACGCCATAGTGCTGTGTCACATGTATGCTCATTTGCTTTGCCGAAGATACATCTTCCTGGAAAAAGTGAACCAGAACTTTCTGCTGGTTAATGACAGTCTATGGCTTTCAAGTTGGCCACAAACCAAGGCCATCCCAGAGGAACTGATTGCCTTTTGTGGCTTTCCTTCTTGTTACCTTAACAGCAGCAATTTGGATACAGTGCCATTTGTTTTAGGAATACTGATCTTGAGAATGCTCCAAACTGCAGTAAACACTGTGGAACCACATAGGCCCTTAGTTTTGAAGCAAGTATAATCTCTTGGAAAGAAAGTTAAATTAAAAACACAAATTATCCCCGATAGCTTTGTCTACACTTTTGTCCTTCATTACCTGTGCAGGATGGGTTCTGAGACCCTACTTGGAAACTAAAATTCTGATGCTTAAGTGTGTGCATATAACCTATGCACATCTCCCCTCCAGTATACTGTAAATCTTCTCTAGATTACTTATAATACTTAATACAATGGAAATGGTGTTTGTATTAGCCTGTTCTCACATTGCTATAAAGAACTACCTAAGACTGGGTAATTTATAAAGAACGGAGTTTTAGTTGGCTCACAGCTCTGCAGGCTGTACAGGAAGCATGGCTGGAGAGCCTCAGGAAACTTACAATCATGGCGAAAGGCAAAGAGGAAGAGCCATGTCTTACATGACCACAGCAGGAGGAAGAGCATGTAAACAACCAGATCCTTTGATAACTTACTATCACGAGAGCAGCTAGGGGGAAGTTCAGCCTCGTGATCCAGTCACCTCCCACGAGGTTCCTCCTCCAACAGTGGGGATTACAATTAAATGTGAGATTTGGTAGGGGACACAAATCCAAACCATATCATTCATTGTAAATAGTTGTTATACTGTTTTTTTTGTCTTTTTTTTTTTTTTTTTTTTTTTGATAGAGTCTCCATCTGTCTCCTAGGCTAGAGTGCAGTGGTGTGATCTCAGCTCACTGCAACCACCATCTCCTGGGTTCCAGCAATTCTCCCACCTCAGCCTCCCAAAGTGCTGGGATTACAGGCGTGAGCCACCGTGCCTGGCCCTGTCTGTATTTTTTAATTGTTGTATTGTTATCTTTAATTTGTTCAGAATATTTTTAATCTACAGTGGGTTGAATCTGCCGATGCAGAACCCACAGATAGAGAGGGACGGTGCACCCAATTTCCCCTGGTTTCTGGGGAAATTGGATCTTAGGGTATCGCACCAAGATAAGCAAACTATATGCCTTTTGAAGTGATTCATAGGGATTTCGTTTTTGTTTTTGTTTTCTAATTGGCCTTTTCCTTTTTGTTATTTAGAAAAAAAATTGGACTTGGCATCAGTTGACCTGAGGAAGATGAGAGTGGCAGAGCTGAAACAGATCCTGCATAGCTGGGGGGAGGAGTGCAGGGCCTGTGCAGAAAAAACTGACTATGTGAATATGATCCAAGAGCTTGCCCCCAGGTATGCAGCAACACACCCCAAAGCAGAGCTCTGATTTCCAACCCCAGCACAGTTGTAACTTGTAATTAGAGAGAAAAATGGCTCTCTAGGATATGGACATATTGATTGAGGGTAACAGAGGAATGCATCATATTTGGTCTCATGATTTTTGTGTTGGTATTAGTCCTCAGAATGTCGTTGAATTTTGTTATGTGGGTTTATGAGTAAATCTAATACTACTGATAACTTACATTTGCAGTGTACCAAAACCTGAAAATCCCTTTCTCATAAGTTTCTTGGAAGGACTTTGTCAGTTTTCGTTGCTTGTCTCCTAAAACTGGGAAAAGTGAACTACTGACAAATTGATGAAGTAAATGGATTCCAAGAAAGAAGAGGGCATTCAGAGACTCCTCTCTGGATGCAGTTTTAAAGCATATTGGACTACAACAAAAGACAAAGTTAGCTTATCTAATGCCCAACTTCAATCCCAAATAATAACTTTTACATAATCGAACATTTTTTTTAAAGTACATTTTCTATTTTCACTCTACATTGTAGCTCTTTTTGGTATCTGAAGTTAATGTTTCCGATCCTGCTTGAAGAAAATAGAGAGATCAAGAACCTATATGAGTATAGCCAATGTTTGGCAATTGAATCAACATTTACATTGTTAATTGAACCAAGCTCAAGGTCTTTTTCATTCCTTACAGTCACATATCAGATACATTTTTGATAGAAGATTAAAGCATATTAAAAACACCCATAGGCAACTTGGAACTTTACCGTTCTTAAGGCTATTTTATCAGGTTTCAGTTGTAAAATCATTTCTGGTTCCATTTTCTGGCCACATAAGGGTAAGAAACCCACAGTAGAAGTGGCTGCCTCTGTGTAGTAGGTAGAGCCAGGGAATACTAGAAAAACATTTCCTTGGAACTTTCTGGTGTGATGGGAATGTCCTACATCTTGATGGGCATGGGGATTACATGGGTTAACAAGATTGTCATCTGGTAGAAAAATTAAGATCTGGGCATTTTATTGTATGTATATTATATCTTTAAAAACTACTGTGGAAAAATTATTTGAAAATTAACTAAAATTAATTAATTCAGCACAGCTTGTTTGCCAGGCACAGTGGCTCACACCACTGTGGGAGGCCAAGGCAAAAGGATTGCTTGAGCCTGGGAGTTAGAGATTGGCTCGAGCAACAGAATAAGATTCTGTCTCCACAAAAAATGTAAAACTAGCTGGGCATGATAGTCTATACCTGTAGTCCCAGTTACTCGGGAGGCCAAGGTGGGAGGATTGCTTGAGCCCAGGAGGTGGAGTCTGCAATGAGCTATGATCCTGCCACTGCACTCCAGCCTGGGCAACAGAGGAAAATTCTACCAGAAATAAATAAAAAATCAAAAAAAGCCCATCTTGTTCATTCAAAGAATTGCATTTTCTGACTGGGGTTTTTTTTTTTCATGGAGTGGAGGAGAAATTTTCAGACTAATATATATATTGAAAGCATAATTTTTACTTTTAAATGTTGCAGAGGTAAATGAATTTTCAGCTGGGCAGTTGACATGCAACTGAACTTGTCGGAGTCAGTGGTTCCTGAGGAAATATATGTATGATGTAACTGAAAAGTGAGAATAAAAAAGCTTGGGTGTAATGAAGGGTCAAAGTGATTATTGTTTCTGAATTTTGGCAGTTTGATCATCATGTGTAAAGCATCTACTTTATTTTGAATTATATCTTCAAAAAGCCAAAGTTACTTTTTGGTTGTTTTTGTTTTTTGAGACAGATTCTCGCTCTGTTGCCCAGGCTGGTGTGCAGTGGCATAATCTCAGCTCACTGCAAACTCCACCTTCCGGGTTCAAGTGATTCTCCTGCCTCAGCCTCCTGAGTATCTCGGATTATAGGACGAACCACTAGGCCTGGCTAATTTTTTTGTATTTTTAGTAGAGATGGGGTTTTGCCATGTTGGCCAGGATGAACTTGAACTCCTGCCCTCAAGTGATTCACCCGCCTCAGCCTCCCAAAATGCTGATATTACAGGCATGAGCCACCATGCCTGGCCTCTCCAAAGTTTTTTTAAAAAACTTCTTATAACCTTTATATTTGTTTTTATTTTTGCATTTTGAACAAACGTGTTGTTTGAAAATATTATGTTTGGTGCCCAACCTCAAAATCAGGTTGTATTTCTGTGTCTTTTATTCAGGATACAAACTGAGGTAATAGAAACAGTGCCCAGCCAGTCATTTATATCCATGGTGTTTAGTCTGTTTTTTGTTGTTGTTTTTTGAGATGGAGTCTTGCTCTGTCACCCAGGCTGGAGGGCAATGGCATGGTCTCAGCTCACTGCAACCTCCGCTTCCTGGGTTCAAGCGATTCTCCTGCCTCAGCCTCCCAAGTAGCTGGGATCACAGGTGTCCACCACGACGGCTAATTTTTATATTTTTAGTAGAGACAGGGTTTCACCATGTTGGCCAGGCTGGTCTCAAACTCCTGACCTCGAGATCCGCCCACCTTGGCCTCCCGAAGTCCTGGGATTACAGGCATGAGCCACTGCGCGCAGCCTAGCCTGTTTTTTTAAAGAGAATATACCTCAGTGCTTTTCAAATTGCGCATACAGCGTTTATCAAGCACAATTCACAATTGCAAAGATACGGAACCAACCTAAGTGCCCAACAGCTGGTAAGCAGATAAAGAAAACGCGGTCTGTATACAGCATGTACTACTACATAGCCATCAAAAAGAACAAAATTATATCTTTTGCAGCAACTTGGCTGGAACTGGAGGCCATTATTCTAAGTGAAGTAACTCAGGAATGAAAACTAAACCTGTACGTATAAACCAGTATGTTCTCACTGATAAGTGGGAGTTAAGCTACAGGGTAAGCAGACACAGAAAGAGTGATATAAGAAGAAGGGAGGGTGGGAGGAAGTCGAGCCAAAATCTCAAACTTCACCACTATACAATTCAGCCATGAAACCAAAAACCACTTGTACCACAAAAGCTATTGAAATAAAAAATAAAGAGCTGAAAAGTAAAAACAAATCAACCAACAAAAACCGTGCATACAGGCAGTCTTGTTTTTTTGTTTTTTTGAGACGGACTTTCGCTGTTGTTACCCAGACAGGAGTGCAATGGCACCATCTCGGCTCACCGCAACCTCCACCTTCTGGGTTCAAGCAATTCTCCTGCCTCAGCCTCCTGAGTAGCTGGAACTACAGGCACACGCCACCAGGCCCAGCTAATTTTTGCATTTTTAGTAGAGACCGGGTTTCACCTTGTTGATCAGGATGGTCTCGATCTCTTGACCTCGTGATCCACCTGCCTCGGCCCCCCAAAATGCTGGGATTATAGGCGTGAGCCACCACTCCTGGCTTCAGTCTTGTTAAAATATGGGTTCTGACTCAGTGGGTCTGGGTTGGGGCCTGAGATTCTGCAATTTGAATAAGCTATTAGGTGATATCCACACTGCCCTTCCAGGACCACACTTTGAGTAGCAAAGCCTTAGGTCAAGGATCCTGCAATTGATACATACTTTTTTCCCTTTGCCAGTGTCAACCTAAATAATAAACAGAAAGGCTCTCTAAAAAACGATGTTTATTTGGGAGTACAGCATTGTAATAGGAATATGCAAGCCTTAATAAACTAGGCATACTCAAGGTAGGTAAGGAAGACAAAGGTTTTTAAAGGTAAAAATGAGGACTGGTAAGGTGGCTCACCCCTGTAATCCCAGCATTTTGGGAGTTCGAGGCAGGCAGATCACTTGAGGTCAGGGGTTCAACATGGTGAAACCTTGCCTGGCCAACATGGTGAAACCCCATCTCTACTAAAAATACAAAAAAAATTAGCTGGCCGTGGTGATGCATGCCTGTAATCCTAGCTACTTGGGGAGGCTGAGGCAGGAGAATTGCTTGAACCAGGGAGACAGAGGTTGCAGTGAGCCGAGATCATGCCACTCCACTCCAGTCTGGCTGACAGAGCAAGACTTTGTCTCAAAAAACAGAAAACAAACAGCAACAAAAAAGAGGAGGATTACAGAACCATTTTGAAATAATGATCCTTGACCACAAAGATCGATCACAAGGGTGAAGCCAGTCTGAGTTTGGACAGATAGTTTCTAGGCTGATGCTCTTGTAGAAGAATTTTCTTGTGTGAAGTTGTGATGACTTTTGTGCAGGATTGATTTTTACAGTCCTTTGTGATTGTTTGTGTTATTAGACACATAAGCCTGAGAATCCTCTTTTCATGGCCTCCCCCAGCTCTATTTTCGGGGTTTTCTTGACATTGGTGACTCTGTTCTGATTCTCATGACTTTCACACCAGTCTTGATCAGTTATGTTTTTGATGGAGTTGAATGAAACAATAACAGCAGCAACGACAAAACGAAACAAAAAACTACAGGAGTTTATTCTTTCATGTAAAAGAAGTCCAGAAGAAGCCAGTCCAGGGTAAATATGGCAGCTTCACGAAGTTATTAGGGACTCGGCTTGACCTTTTTGCTTCCCATTCTAGTGGTGAGTTTCATTTCTAACCCATGAGCCTAGTTGGATGCTGGAATTTACTATTTCAGAAGGGAGAAGGCATGAAAGAACTTGCCTCTAACCTGACTCCACTTCTTCTTCTTTTTTTTTTTTTTTTGAGACGGAGTTTCGTTCTTGTTGCCTAGGCTAGAGTGCAATGGCACAATCTCGGCTCACTGCAACCTTTGCCTCCAGGGTTCAAGTGACTCTCGTGCCTCAGCCTCCTGATTACTTGGGATTATAGGCACCTGCAACCACACTGGGCTAAGTTTTTGTACTTTTGTAGAGACAGGGTTTCACCATATTGGCCAGGCTGATCTTGAAGTCCTGACCTCAGGTGATCCACCCACCTTGGCCTCCCAAAGTGCTGGGATTATAGGCATGAGCCACTGCGCCCGGCCCTGAGCCCACTTCTTTAAGGGAGACTGCCTCCCTCTACCTGCCTCTACTCCTACCCTCACGTCCCACTTAACACTCTGCTTATATGCCATTGACCAGAGCTTTTCTATTAAAAAGGTTTTTAAAAAAATATTTGTTTTTTGAGACGAAGTCTCCCTCTGCAACCCAGGCTGGAGTGCAGTGGCACAATCTTGGTTTACTGCAACCTCCACCTCCCAGGTTCGAGTGATTCTCCTGCCTCAGCCTCTCGAGTAACTGGGACTGTAGGCACGTGCCACCATGCCCAGCTAATTTTTTGTAGTTTTAGTAGAGACAGGATTTCACCATGTTGGCCAGACTAGGTCTTGAACTCCTGACCTCAAGTGATTCACCTGCCTCAAGTCTCCCAAAGTGCTGGGATTACAGGGGTGAACCACTGTGCCTAGCTGCCTGTGTCTTTGTGATAGAATGATTTATATTCCTTTGAGTATCTACCCAGTAATGGGATTGCTAGGTTAAGTCACTGACCAGAACTTAATCACATGTCCAACGTGGCTGCAAAGGAGTTCAGGAAATAACATCTTTTGGTTGAGTTTGTTGCTACCCAAATAAAATCAGATTTTTGTTGTTGTTGTTACTGAGGAAGAAGGAGGAAACTGTCTGTGGCCACAAACCATCTCTGCCACACAGCACAAATATTTCCTAACCCTGCCTCTCAGTGCTAATGCCCGGTTAGCATACCCTCAATAACTCTTGCCTCTCCTTGCTCTTTGCATCTTCCATAGATATAGGCAATTACGCATTTCCTTCTTTTTTGGTTTGATGAGAAGTACATACTGTTTTTCCATTTGAATTTTTAATCATTACTCCTCTCATTGTGCATGTGTTTGTGTGTATATGTATTTTTTATGTGTATTCCGCCCCCCCAATCCATTAAGTAATCAAGATTTAGGAGTCGGACATTCTGACAAAAGTGTCAAAACTCTAGGCTAAAAAACTTTCATCCAGCCCAGGTGTGGGGGCTCAATCCCAGCACTTTGGGAGGCTGAGGTGGAAGGACTGCTTGAGCCCAGGAGTTTAAGATCAGCCTGTGCAACATACTGAAACCCGGTCTCTACAAAAAATAAAAAATTACCTGGGAGTGAGTTGTGGTGCACACCTGCAGTCCCAGCTACTTGGGAGGCTGAAGTGGGAGGATCACTTGAGCCCAGGAGATCAAAGTGCAGTGAGCTGTCATCGCGCCACTGCACTCCAGCCTAGGCGACAGAGCGAGACCCCATTTCAAACAAAACAAAACCAAAGAACAAAAACCTTTCATCTAAACAGTGTTACCAGTAGAGGGTCTTCTGACTGCAAGGTGTCCAGGTTTTTGGCGTTTCGAATAAAGAATTGGACAAAACACACAACAACGTAAGGAAAGAATGAAGCAAAAAAAGCAGAGATTTATTGAAAATGGAAGTACACTTCACAGAGTGGGAACAGCCAGAGCAAGAGGCTTAAGAGGCCCAGTTACAGGATCTTCTGGGCTCCAAATACTCTAGAGGTTTTCCATTGGCCACTTGGTATATACCCCATGCAAATGAAGTAGTGGCCCACGATCAGCCTGATTGGTTGCAGAAAGCAACTAATCAGAGGCTGAAGTGAAGTTACAAAGTTACATTCCTATGGAAATGAAGACTGTCCTGCAAATCAGTTTGATTGGCTGTGGAAAGTAACCAATCAGAGGCTGAAGTGAAGTTACAAAGTTACACTGCTGTGC